CACCACCACAACCACCACTTCTACCACCACCACCACCACCTCCACCACCACTTCTTCCACCACCACCACCACCACCACAACCACCAGCATGTGCATCCTCACCACATCTGTGGGAAAACCTTCTCTTTGGTCCTCCTCCTCTTCTCTTGCCTGATGACACACTACCCTCCGCCCGTGGCATTCCTTTCTCGGGAAATTATTCCCCGAATCCTTTCACTGCATGTGCTTAGACTATTTCGAGATATCGAGAAATTTGTATAAATTTGCAGATTGGACCCAAGCAATAAAGTATAAATACACGGATTAGTTCCTACAAAAGTGTATAAGTACATGTATTTGTCTAAAGAAATGTGTATAAATACGGGGAATGGTCCCAAGAAATTTGTATAAATTTTCGGATTTGTCCCCAAGAGATTTGTATAAATAAGTGTATTGGTCTCTCAAATTTTGTATAATTACGTTGATTGGTCCCAAGAAATGTGAATACATACAGCGATTGGTCCTAAGAAATGTGTATAAATATATGTGAAATTATCCCTAGAAATGCATTCTAATCTATGGTCCTAATAATTGCTGTAGAACGTAGATATGACGCTGCATAATGTAATAATGTAATTATTATTGTTGTTATCCTCACATTCGCAGAACTTACTTCTGGCTGATAATTTATTTTAATTTTTCCTTTACAAGCCGGCCCGGTCTATCTTTGTCTGTACATCATATTGTGGCCATGAACTGTTAAATCATCAGTGTGGGTGGTTGGAGGGTGCCACTGGTTGGTTCCACGTCTGTTCTTGGCCTCTATTGAAAGGACTGCTGTTGTACATAGAATGGGCCAGTATGCAGGAGACTTGCCATAGTGTAGCGTTATAATTTTAAAAATTATTATTATTATCACCATTACTTTTGGTATTATTATTATTATTATTATTATTTTTATTATTATTATTATTATTATTATTATTATTATTATTATTATTATTATTATTATATGGATATTATTATTGTTCATGTTTGCCTGTCTTGCTTTTCCTTTGCACTGACTGTTATTGTATCGATGGCTTTCTTCTTTAAAATTTTCTTTCCATCGATAACCCCACCTCCTGGGTGGTTGGCAGGTGCTCTGGTGTCGTTTGCTTCTTATTTCCTATCAAACATCTGTCGTCTTTATCTCCCCTCCTTTTTTGTGTTTGTTACTCTCTTGTAACACCTCTAATTTTTGGCACTTGTTTGACTTTATTGTGTTGCAAGTGCCGTTAAACTCTTACTACAATTAAAACCACCCCCCTCCACAGATGCCCCACCACCCTCCTTCACCTACCAAGTGTTTTTTATGAAGAAGCTTTGGATCAAGACCGTCCCCGGCCGAGACATCAACGCTGACCTCATTTTCCACTACCACCAGGTACAGTTGATCATTATTGTGTCGTGCATAGATCTGTTTTCTGTCGTTGATCCCAACAGAATTCTTGATTTTATACAGGCCATTGCCATTTACCGGAAATTATGAATAATGCTGTTTGAAATTTTCAATTTGTATTTAACTCATTCGCTACGTATTATTTTCGGCTGTGGACGAATTTTTTTCGGGAGGGGGGCGAAATGAGATGATGACAAGTGGGCAGTTCACAGGTCTTGGGGGCCATAAATTCAAATAAATATCAACATATTATATACCAACATTTT